CTTGAGGAAAAGGGTGTGCACAACATGGAAAGTCAAGCAGGGTGGCAATTCTAAGAAAATTTTCTCTGAATTAGCCTTCTCATCTCGGAGGCAGAGCACGCCCTGTCCTTGGGTGGTGATGGGACCCCCCTCCTCCTGCTGCTTCTCTCTCCATCTCTGTCTCCTTGTGCATCAGCCAAGCCTTTGCGTCACTGTCTTCCAATTCCCTGGCTCCCTCCCTCCTGCTAATCTGCCTGCATCAGCTCCAGCTCCACTCCCTGACCACACCAGGCTTGCTGTGGCCTGGGGAAAACAGGCTCCTTGCACTCCCTCATTGGCTTTTTGCTTCTCTCTATCTAATCCAGGCCAGAGGCCCCTCCTGGGAAGTTGCTGGAAAGCCTTTGAGAAGCTTCAGCTGTAGGAAGGTGCATTTGGAGGCCATCTCCGTCAGGAAGGGCCTGTCCCCATCTCCCCCACTCATTCTTGCCAAGGATGCTCCCCCTGGTTGCCCCAAGAGACATCTGCGGGCTAATGGGAGGGTAGGAAGAAGGATGTGAAGAGCCAAGACAGTGGGCTGGAGGCACCCATCTAGTGTCTGAGGTGGCCTGGCCTGCTCAGGCGGATCTTGACCTAGTCCTGAGCTGCCCTGGGACAGGCTGGTGTCGTCTGAGTGTCGGGCCTTGCTCGGAGTTGGCACAAGGAGTTGCTCTTTGAGGAATAGCTAGGGTGAAAGGTGGCAGATAAGCCACCTGTTCCTTTGGTGGCCCAGGCTAGGCCCCTAAGCAGGGCAATATGGCAGTTGCTAAGGTACCGGGAGACTTTCTGTATCAAGGTAGAAACAGGAGCTGTAGTACTGAAAAGGTGCAGAGTGGCCGTCCTGGCTAGAAATGCACTCACACGTGCCATTTGGGAGACGAGGACACCCACCAACATCATGACACCCAAACTGTGGGATGGAAAAGAGCTGGCACCAAATTCTAGGCAATGACACATGCTCTGGCTTAGCAGGTCCATGGGCTTGGTGGCTTGCCACCGCTTTACAGATGAGGAAATGGAGGCCCAGACAGTGAGACAATGTCACAGCCATGTGAAGCCACTTAGGGATGAGGAGCAAAGATGTGAGCTGTCAGGCCAGGTGGCCCTTCTGGATGGCAGGTCTCACATGCCAGGGGGGCCTAGGAGGGTTTGAAGGAAGCCCAAGTGCCCAGAAGAAGAGGAAGACTAGAAGTGGGGTGGGAACAGGCCCGTTCTCCCTCCCACATGAGCTGGGGGCAGAGGACGCAGGACCCTGGAGGAGGTCGTGTGTGTGCCTGCAGGCGGCAAGGCTCGCTCAGAGCAGCACAGAGGGTCCCTAGAGGCCCAGGGCACCCCCCCACACACACACCCAGGATGTCTACCCTGGGGGAGGGAGAGAATTCCCCGCTGCATCCGTTGGCTCTCCTCACTTCCCAGTCCTTCCTCAGCACTGCTCACCTGGCATCAACTTTTGAGATCCATCATTAGATATCCAAGCAGCCCCAGCTCCGATTTCATTTGGTTAAACCACTGTTTGTTTAGTCTTTATCACACAGGCAATGCACATCCATTATAGGAACAATAGAATGCACAGAAGAGCAAAGTATTTTGGTATATATCCATTCAGATGTTTCTTTCCCTGTGCATCATGATGTACATAGATTTTTGAGTAAATGGCACCATCCTTCACATCTTTTTTTAAAGATTTTCTTTATTTATCTATTTATTTAGAGTCGGGGGAGGGGCAGAGGGCGAGGGAGAGAGAAAAATCTCAAGCAGACTCTGCTCTGAGCATGGAGCCTGACATGGGGCTCAGTCTCACAACCCTGAGATCATGACCTGGGCTGAAACCGAGAATTGGACGCTTAATCAACTGAGCCACTCAAGTGCCCCTCTACGCGTCTTTTTTTTTTTTAAAGCTTTCTTTCACTTAACGATATAAGGAAACCATATATAGGAAGGCTTGCTCAATACCACTATATATCAACATCATTTGTAATGACTACGTAGTATTTGCTTGAATAATGGATAAGAATATGTTTAAATATGACTGTTGGGGATCTAGATTATTGCCTAATTTTCACCACTATACTCAGCACTGGGATGCCACCCCTCTAGTATATACTTTGTTCTGCTTACTCATTTGTCTCCTTAGGAGAGATTGCCCTGATGGGGAGCTGAAAGACCAATGGTCTTACCCTCTCTAAGGCTTTCGGTACGTATAGAGATTTGTCCTCTGAAAAGATGTGTCCATTGACCTGTCCACCAACAGTGCGTGAGAGCTGCCTGTCTGTAGTGAGGGTTTTCCCCGTTGTCCATTGATTGGGGATGAAGTGGATGGTGGGTCTGAGAGGAAACCTGGGTCCAAGGAGGGGTGGCAGTGTTTGCTTAGTCAGAAGCATGGCTCCTGCCAGCTTTCAGTGCAGAGTGTGTTTTGGTGGTGTGGGGGGGGGTGCCTGAGTTCTGTCCTTGCTGAGGCTGGTAGAGGGAGCAGGTCTTGTCTGGGAAAACTTCGATCAACAGTACCAAGGCACTCAGGTCAAAAGAGGGGAGAGCCCAGTAGGAGCAGGAACAGGTAAGACAAGTGGGCCCCTCAGGAAGGGGCAGGGCTTAGCTCAGCAGGAGGAGTTGGAGGGCATTCGGGGGGGGGCGGGTACCAGCATAAGCAAAGGCATAGGGATTACCATGGCAGGGCCACCTTCCAGGTATGTTGAGACACATCGTCGTCTTGGAGCACAGTGTCAACATCGAGGGGCCCTTGTGAGAAAAGTGGCTGGGTCAGGGGACTGGGGCGTTTGCCCCCAGGCTTAGGGACAGTGGAGAGCCAGCAGAAGCTGAATGAGAAGCGAGGGCTGATGTGGGCCAAGCTGCAGGAATGAAGCGTAGATGAAAGCAGGGGTCCAGGGCTGTGTGGGGCAGGGAGAGTAGGGAGTGGTGAAGTGGAGGGAGAAGCCAGCTCTGTAGTTGGGACATGAATTCAAACTGCATGTGTGTCCATCTGTCTGTCTGGGGTTCATCATTTTAAAGGCTCCTTGTTCCAAAGAGCTGCCTTCTTCAATCCCATGGGAAGACACTATTTCCTCCCTCTTTCAGATTTATTATCCTGTCTAAAAAGGACATTAGACTTCTGAGATGTGGCATCAGCCCTGCTCTTTGCCTGGTGGGGGCAATAAGACTTGAGTCTTGTGATTGGGGTCTTAGCTGTTAAAGATGGGACCTGAGACAACTCCACTCCTCCTTACTGTGGGCTCTTACACGTGTCCCTGCGCCTTTGGCCAGGGAGTTCCCAGTGGCCCCTCTGCCTCTGTCATTCTGCATGTGTGTGCATCTGTCCTGATTTTGGAGGTGACTGGTTTGGTTCTGATTTGGCAGAAAACTTCTAGGCAGTGTGGGCAACAGGTTTGTCAAGGGGAAACTGAAGACTTCCTGAAGGAACCTAAAGACTCAGCAGTAGGAGGCCCTGAGCTGGGGCCCAGAGAAGGTGAGGGGCTTGCTCAAGGTCTCACAGTCAATCGGAAGCACCAGCAGACTGAGGGGCCAAGATCCCAGGTGGCAACTCTGTCTGTGTGCCCTGCCCAGTGGGGCTACTCCCTGGGCTGCTGGGATGGGACAGTTGGACCTATGGGGTCCACAGATCACCTATGGAATGAGTTCTGCTCAATAGAAGTTTGACGTGGCAGCTTTGGTCAGGGGCTGGGCAGTGGGGCTGCCATTCACTGTGATGAGGTGCCACTCCTGGCAAGCAGCAGGCTTGGGCCTCCTGGGCTGCTCATTCAGTGTGGTTTATGGGAAAGCCAGTTCTTGCTGATGCGGCAAATCTGGTTTGCTCTTGGCCCTTGCCTTACCTATTTTAGTGTGCCCCTGACCTCTAAGGAAACATGTCCAGGCCTTGCCAGCTGGCAGCAGGGCCTGGCCACTCTGGGCCTGGCCCTGGAGAGGCCCCGAGGGTGGCAGGCTCCTAAGAGGGAGACTGCTCTGCCTCAGGACTGTTCTGGCAGGGCCACAACCCCTCCTTCTCATCATGCCCGCTTGCCTGAATCTTCGGTCCTTCCCTTGAGGTCCAAGGGGCCAGCTGTGGCAGGCCGGGGCTGGGATTAAACTCACAATATGGCCCTTCCATCTCCCTGAAGCACTGTGCCAGTCCCAGCTTGAAGAGTTGGCTTCCTCACCCCAGCCCCTTCTGGGGCAAAGACCTTCATGGTGCTGTGAAGGCCTCAGAGACCACTGTGGTCCACCTCTCGCTGGCCACAGGAGGGAAGCACGTGGCTCAAGGGCAGAGAAGAGGCAAGGAGGGGCAGCAGGGCAAGGATACGGAGAGGAAGAGAGAGAAAGCAGAGCACAGCAGCAAGTCCTGACAACTAGCCAACCCCTGAGCCATGCAGGGCTGCACACCCTCAGGTTGTGCTTGTACTGACTGAAGACCACTGACGGTTCCCTCTCCCAGCGAGGACAGCTTGAGAGTCACTGCTGCTTGGCTCCTGCCCAACTGCCCTGAGATCTTTGCTGTGCCAGGTGGTGCCAGGCATTTGTAGGAACATTGGTGCATTCTGCCTTCTTGGCAGTCCTGAAGGGTAGACTTTTTACAATCCCATTTTACAAATGAGGACACTGAAGCAGACTGGAGAGGTTAGCTGACCAACCCAAAGCCTGTCAGACAGCAACTAAAGAGTGCGAGACATGGTCCGGCAGCCCATGCCGTGTTCCCCAGCTCCGGCAGCCCATGCCGTGTTCCCCAGGTGAACAGCTCTAGGCAGACAGGTGGAAGTACCACCTGACAGTGGCAGATCCAGTGTGTGCTCACTCCCTGGCCTCTGCCCACCACCCAGAACTTCACCAACTCTTGCTTCCCAATGTCGAAAGGACAGTCTGGATGGTCTTGGTGTGGTCAGGGACCACATGATGACCTGCAAGCCATTATAAATGCATGAAGTGACAAGCCGTGTGCTTGCCTTTGCCCCCAGGAGCCCTGTTGAATCAACTGAGAAGGGATCTGCAGAGCAAACACCATGAGTATCTCAGCTCTTGGAAGCAGCACTAAAGGTGAGGCCTGGGCTCCCTCTTGTCCCAGGCTTTGTGAGAGCGGCACATTGGGAGGACTGGAAGGGAGGTCTCAGGGTTCCGGGGCTGGGCTCCCCTTCTGAGGCTGCCTGGCCTTGCTCCTTCCAGGGAAGCCCCTACCACCAGGTGAAGAAGAACGCAATAATGTCCTCAAACAGATGAAGGTTCGAACCACACTGAAGGGGGACAAGAGCTGGATCACCAAGCAGGATGAATCGGAGGGCCACACTCTGTAAGTCCAGGAAGCTGGGAGGCCAGCAAAAATGGGGTGGGGTGGGCCTGTGATCCACAGGGGCCTGTCAGTACCTGGGGATGCTGAGGGACTTCTACCATTCAGACCTCTGCCGGGCCATGTGGCCACAGGCCAGCTGGGGAGGGCGGAGCATGGGGAAGCAATCCAGCTGAGGCCAGACTCACCCTGTGACTTTGGGTGCCGAGTGGGCCTGTATATACGTGCCTGTGGAATGTGAAGGCAGGGCCAGGGAAGGCGAATGTGAGATGAGGATGGTGGGCCAAGTTATTGAGGTGCACGTGCCGCACCCCACCTCACCTGCTCTGAGTCAGCAGGCAGCCTCTAGGATGGAGGCGGCAGGGTGGCTGATGGTAGGGAGACACTTCTTCACGACTCTTCTTCCCCAGAGAGCTGCCCTCTGGTCGGAGTCGTGCCACATCCTTCTCATCAGCTGGGGAAGTCACGGAGGCCAGGTAAGAGGTGGTGCCCAGATGGCTGGTGGGTGGACCCCGTGCTGCAGTCTTCAGGAGATAAGGAGGATCCCAAGCTTGGCAGAGATGTCAGGGTCTGCAGTGAGTCATTTCAAATCCACAGGAAGGACAGGCTTTTCTGCTCTGGTCCCCCTTGGGAAAGGGAATGCAGGAGTCACTGGGTTCAGGTGCCTGGCCTTGCTGTGTGACCTTGAAGCTGGCTGCCTAATGGGCCTCCATGGTTCCAGCTGTCTACTAGACATTGAGAAACCCCCATAGGGGGTGAGACAACATCTCTGAGGTGGTTTAGGCAGCTTTAAGAGGCACACTTGACTCTCTCCCATGGGGAGTCCTGACTGCTGAGGATCCTTGGTAATCAGCATGTCACGGGACACTCACACATTTGTTCCAACTGTCTCCCAAGTTCAGGATGACCTATTTTGACAGCTAGCCAAAGGGAACAGCCCATCACCTCTCTACTTTGAGGACTTCCACATATCGGTGTCTAGGGAGGCTCTGGAGCTCCTGAGAAGCAAGAAGGTGGGGGAGTGCAAAACTCAGGCAGTTGGCAGTGAGCACAGTTGCCAGGGCCTGTCTCAGGTGGTGGTAGAGGCGGTGGCAGCAGCTGGAAGGGAGGGGTCCAAGGTCACTGCTAGGTCCCAGGGGCTGCCTCTGATAATTGTGGCCTTGCCCATCACCACTGTTCACTGACTCAGCACCCACTACCAGCCAAGTCCTGTGTTTGGCACAGAGGACACAGCTCTCCCCTCAGGGAACTGACATCTTAGCAGGGAACACAGGCATGACCCAAGTAGAGAGATGATCATAAAAGAGAGAATTATGGATTGTGATTGTTGCAGTTGGCAAAGCTGCTGAAGACCTGAGCACGGTTCGAAGATAGTCTACTCACTGGGGGGCTTGTTTACTTTGGGTGGTGCAGTTCTCACCCTGGGCCTCTGTTTGGAGGTATGTTTGGAAAGCACATCCCGGGGGCACTGTAATTCAGGGCCTAGATCAGGGATACCTGAAAGTCTACATAAACTTTGGCTCTCATTCTCTCCTAGGCACAGGTATTTTAGCCAAAAATGGCTGTGTGGCTGGATGGGGGAAAAGTGACCTTTCTTTCTCAGGTCCCACCCCAAGTGTTCTTGCAACTTTGTCACCTCCAGGAGGCTGTCCCTATTAAGGACAAGGATCTGTCAAGATGGAGAACACTGGGGCTCTGCGCTGTCCTTCCCACCTGCTTGTCTGGGGTTCCCTTAGACCCACTCCCCCCACCCCTGCTCCAGCACTAAACTCCTCTGTTCCTACACAGAAGGGCCATCTGCCGAATCCTTGTCTCCTGCCCCTGTACCCCAAACTCACAGCTCTTGGCTGCCTGCCACTGCCAGTCCTCTGAGCCCCCTCAGTTGCTCCCGAGGAGGAGGTACCCAGCACGTGCAGTTTGTTTTCCAGCCATGCCCTCCAGTCCCAAACTTTCATCAAGACAGGGACGTGGGCGTCTCAGGAGTTGGAGGAGGGAAGCCCCAAGGGGCAGGAAGGGAGGGGCATCTGGCTTTAGTTCTACCCCTTGGGCCCTCATGAGCCTCTCCAAAGGAGGCTGTACAGGGATATCAGGTCAGAGACCATGGACTCTCCCCGCCATAGGCCTCTGACCATGGAGCCTCCAGGTCTGGGAGTAGAGGGTGAGAGGTCCCAAAAGACCTCTTTCTCACGGGAGTGTTGGGCCCTGGCAGGCCAGGAAAAAGCTGGAGTTTGGAGGAGAACCCTCTTCAGCAAAGGCTCAGCCATGGAATATACAGCTTCCTGGGCACTTGGTGTGAGCCAGGACCATACTGAGCCAGTTGCAAGAATCAGCCATAGGTACCCTTCCTGCGGAGCATGAGACAGATGGGCAGAGCAGAACAGGCACCCTGGCTTGGGGTGAAGGGGTGGCTGCCCCTCTTGCTGCCCTCATTCTGACCACACTTGGACACCCACCAGCCAATCCACTGACAATCAAGCCGTCATTGGGTGCAGGAGAAAGTAGGGCATCGTTGCTTCACTTCATACCTCCTTTTCCCTTGGCAGGCCTCCAAGCGTGAGGGCTCCCACTGGCTATATCATCCGGTAGGTGACCACAGGATCCTGCCCACTCCCCTATGTCTGCCCGCACTGTTCCCAGGCTTCTCCCAGGGGAGCTCACTGGACTACTTCTGGGCTCTCTTTTAGGGGAGTGTTCACCAAGCCCATAGACAGCTCGTGTCAGCCCCAGCAGCACTTCCCCAAGGCCAACGGAGCTCCAAAAAGGTGTGTGTCCATGGGGTGAGGGCTTAGGCCACGCAGCAGGTATGAGGGCCTATGCCAAGCTCATGGCAGAGAGATAACTCTTCCTGTCACTAAGGGGGGGCGGGCAGGAGGGGGTGGTAGGTGGCAGCTCTCTGCCTGTGTAGGTCAGGGCCCTGGATAGCAGTGCTGGGACAGAAAGCCCCCAGGCGGATGTATGGTCCAGTTTGGACACTTGGGTTTCCCAGCAGCCATGTCTCTGGGAGACCCTGGGCCACTACCCGCCTGGCCCTGGTCACTGGGGCAGAGACACAGGGAGGAGGCTGGGCGGGCTTCACAGCTGACTTGCTGGCTGACTGCACCGAGCTGTGTGCTTCAGTCCACCTTCTTCCCGGCAGATCTGAGGTGACACATCATTGTCAAAGCACCTTGGTGTCAAGTTGAACCTGGGCTCCATCCTCCTTAGCAGGGCCAAGGGGCCTGGGCCTACCTATGGCAGATGTCCTGGGTGTCTGGCAGGGCTGAGGGAAAAGAGGAAAAGCCACCAGCCACATGCCTCCTGGGCCATGTGGGAAGATTTAGAAGCAAGAGGGGGCCTGGGAGTGGGCACATGGAAACCTCTTTCCTCTCCAGTGCTACCGGTCTACTGAGAGCAGCTCCTACTGGGCCTCCCCGCCCCTCCTCCTCTGGCTATAAGATGACCACTGAGGATTACAAGAAGCTGTAAGTATGCAATTGCAGACCCAGCTCAGTTCCCTCCTCCAAGGACCAGCCCAAACACCAGGCCAGCTGAGGGCAGCTGGTTGCTTGCCTCTGAGCATGGCCCAGGAGTGCCAGTCCTGCCAGCCTGACATTCCTGCCAGGTGCCACTGTGACCTGGAGCTTACCAAGGGGGTGACACACCCCAGAAAGCCAGGCAGCTGTACACATCGCACTTCTGATCTGAGGCAAAACAAGGGCTGTAAAGAAGCTTATTGAAGGGGCCAGTGGGTCTGGAGAAAGCATCAAGGATCATGGCTCTGGGGCCGCTGCTGGTTGGCTCTGTTTCCTGGACATGCCTCTGCACCCCTCTGGGGTTCAGGCTAGGCTGGGCTGGGGCCTTATGACCCCAGGCGTGCTGATGGCCCCGGCAGCCTATCCATTATTGGCATTTTGTGCTGAAATCTGAGCTGCTTCTTGGATATAAATCTTTGGGGCTCTCCTTCTGGCCCCTATCAAAGAAGCCCCCCACTATGTGCCCAGGGAGGGGGGATTCTGGACAGGAGTGTGGGTTGTACCTATAGTTCCCAGGGGCCCCACATTTTTATATTGCTTTCTATCCCTTGTCACAATCATCCAGTGACATGGAGCAGCCAGGAAATCTTTCTGGAGAAGGGGAGAGGCTTGAACTGGGTCTTGAGGGACAGTTAGGGTTGGAATAAGGAGAGAGAAGAGGGCTGGCTCTTGAGGAGGAAAAACTGGCATGAACAAAGGCTCAGAGGCAACAATGCCAACATGTGCCATTGTGGTTGTAAGTCAGGAAGCCTTACTGAGGGTGGCATCCTGTGACAGGGGGCAGGGGCAGAGATGTGGGAGGAGGGGCCACACCCAACAGTATGCTCAACCCCTCCGCCTCCCCCAGGGCACCCTACAATGTCAGGCGCAGCTCAGCATCGGGGGCTGCTGAAGAGGAAGAGGTGCCCTTCTCGTCTGACGAGCAGAAACGGAGGTAACGGTGCCTGCTGGGCATCCCACGGGCAGGGCAGGGGCCCAAGTTTGCGTGGACCAGTGACATGGGAATTGTGCCAGTTGGGGTGACGAAGTGCACAACATGTATAATATCAGTGCCGGCCTGTTTACTGGAGAAGCAGCTGCCAGCAGCGGGTGTCCTTTACTGAGTCCCAGAACCACCTACTCAGTGCTGGGTCAGCTCAGAGGATCCTCTTATGAACCTCTTATGGAGCAGAACCTCGGTAATGAGGGTCTGGGGACAGCCTCAACTGTGGCTGGACAGACTGTAAGGAAGGAGGTGCTTTGAGACTTATATCAATTTGTTAAAAAAGAGTCCTGAGCAAATTGGATCAAAATCATCCATGCCCCTGGGAGGAGCCGTCTGTGTGTATGCTGTGTGCATGGAGTCTGGGCAGAGCCTGCATGCCTGGGTGGCAGGGTCAGGCTCCAGAGGTGCCAGTGCCCCCTCACCCCCAAATGAGGCCCAGGTGCTTCGGCGGCAGCTGGGCCCTGAGGAAATAAAACCCCTGTGGGCTCAGCCTGACCCCAGTCCCAGTGTCAATTGGGCTTCGTGAAGCTCCTGTACTGAGGGTCTGGCATATGGGCAGTCCTAAGGGCAGAGTCTACAGTGGCAGAAGTCCCTGGGCCTGGGAGGTATAGGGGACTAGCCAGAAGCTCCGGAGCCAGGCTGCTGGGCATTGACTGTCCACTCTGCCACCGGTTAGGTGTGTAGTCTCTAAAGTCACTAAAGCTCACTGTGCCTCAGTTTCCTCATCTGTAAATTGTGGGTGAAACTAGCACCTACCTTCCTGGGTTGTAAGGGTTCAATGAGACACCATGGATGGGCAGCATCCAGCAGAAGGCCGGGCCTCATGTGTCTCTCTGTTTCCTTTGAATAGTTCTGGGAGCAGGTGCTAATTTGCCTTCATGTGCTTGCCTCTCTGGGCTATGCTAGCAGACTGAGTCCTGCCTTATGCCATTAGATGCCCCCTCCCTGTGCCACCCCAGGTCAGAGGCTGCAAGCAGTGTGGTGAGGAAGACAGCTCCCCGGGAGCACTCCTATGTTCTGTCAGCAGCCAAGAAGAGCACCAGGTGAGTTACACAGCAGGAGACACAGCAGGGCCTGGCTTCTGGGCCGCCTCAGCTACCAAGTGGCTCCCTTCCCCTCAGGGCTCCAGGGTTCCTTTGGCTAGTGAGGGCTTGGTTGAGAGAACCCTCCTAGCTGGACATTCTGGGATCCTCAGATGTACTTTCTGGAAGACTGAGAGGTCTGGCCCCTGCCATCAAGAATAGTGAGGGTACTAGGAATGAGAGAGAAGCCCAGGTCCCTGTAATGCAGAGTGGTCATGATATCACCTGTCCGTGGGTCCTGTCCAACACGTTGCCTTTCTGCTTCCTTTTCAGCAGCCCTACCCAGGAAATGCAGGCCCCATTCATTGCGAAGAGGTAAATGTCAGCAAACGAAGCCTTGGAAGCCTCTTGCTGGCTGGCTACAGAGAAGGTCTCCTGACAGCAGGGGTGGAGTATGGGCGCCATGGAAAGCAGGCACGGAGTGGGAAGTTCTGAGGGGCTGGTGGCTTCTGTTTAGAGGCCGGGCGAGCAACTAGGTGGCTGTGGTGGCACTTGTGGCTTCAACGGCCAGTTCTGCGTAGGCAGGATCTGGCCCACAGAACGTAGCTTATGGCTGGAAACTTCCATTTGCTAACAGGGCTAGGCCACTGACCCCCAGTAGAGTCATAGTGTTTCCAAGGGCCTCTGAGGTTTTGAAGCAAATGTAGCTACCAGGCTGGACAATGCCTTGGCAGGAGGGATTATTGGGCTGGGGTCCACAGGTTTGTCACTGGGAGCCTCTGCCTGGCCAGGCCCTTGGAAGTGACAGTGACATTGGAGATGGGCCCTAAAGGGTGAACAGGGTTCAACAGGGAATGATCAGGATGTCACTCCATTAGTTGAGACAGAACATCTTCTGGGAGAGGAGACTATCTGGGGAGCACAAGGAAGAAACTTCTGGAAGGTTGAATTTTAGGGATATTCCATGAGGTAAACAAAGAAGGCATCTGTGATGAGGTAGCATAGCAAACTGAAGACTGGAATATAGCCAGGAGAGGGCAGTGGCAGCACAAAGGAAGTGACAGATAAATGGTGTGCTCTTACTGGCTTTATTAGGTTCCCGGGGCTGCTGCTACGAAGTACCGCAAACTGGGTGGCCTAGACCCCAGGAACGTATTGTCTTCCAGTTCTGGAAGCTAGAAGTCCAAGATCAAGGTGTCAGCAGGATTGGTTCCTTGTGGAGCCCGTGAGAGGGAAACTGTCGCAGGCTCTTCTCCCAGCTTCTGGTGACCACAGGCAACCCTTGACATTCCTTGGCTTGTAGACACATCACTCCAATCTCTGCCTCTATCATCTTATGAACCTTTTCTCTGTGTGTCTGTGTCCAAATATCCCACTTCTTATAAGGACACCGGTCATTGGATTTAGGGCTCACCCTACTCCAGTGTCACCTGATCTCAACTTGATTACACCTTCAGAGACCCTACTTCCAAATAAGGTCACATTCATAGGTTCAAAGCCACACTATTCAACCTGATATGCTGTCCTTATGCCAAACTGGAGTTGCTAAGCGTCCAGGCTGAACCACCTCCTGGCCATAGACACCACTGAAAGAAAGCATGTCCTTCAGGAGCAGCAAGTTCTAGGGCAGATGAGCACACCACAGGGGACAAGCAGCGCATCTGTTTTTCTTCTTGCCCCAAGGGTTGAGGTGGTGAATGAGGACAGGCCTTCTGAGAAGAGCCAAGACCCACCTGCTCTAGCAAGATCCCCTCCTGGCTCAAACAGGTAAACAATCGCTCATCTCTGCCTGGTGCTGGGGGGCTTCAAGGCTTGCCCTGCCACTGTCACTGTAGGACCTCTGCCAGGTTACCGCCTTGCAGGGCCTCAGGGTCACTGTCCCTATGTGCCCAGTGACAAGATGGGGCACAGAAATCAGTAAGAGCCTGTCTAGCTGGATGTCCTAGGGCTGAATGGAGCAAAACAGTCTGGTGTCCCGGAAGAGTATGTCACTCTTGTCTGTTTGATGCTTATCTGCATTAACTTAAAACCAGTAGCGGCCACAACATCTTAGGAAAAAGTACTAACCATAGGGTTTGAGAGGGCCTACCCACAGGGTCCTAGCCCTGCCATTCTTGGGCTTATTTATAGCTGTACTAGAAGTTGTCCAAGTTCAACCCACCAACCGTGTCCTCTGCCTCCTCTGGAGAAGGAGGCTCCACAGTCCCCAGCCCTGCTCACAGCTGCCTTCCTTGCCAAAGTGTCTCGGGCGATTTGGATTGAGTGCATGCCGAGTCTGCCCAGCCCTGCAGGGAGCTGGGAGCCCAGGTGGGTGCTGTGAGTGCCTCTGGCCTGTGAGCCAGTCAGATGGGATGGTCTGGGACTGGGGTGACAGGGCAAGGGCAGGCGATCACTGGTGATCTCACTACAGACGGGGCCCTGATTTGCTCTGATTTCTGAGCCCTGAGTATCCGAGCAAATGACGGTGCTCACTTGTCTGCAAATAGAGAGCAATCAATACCTCCTTGTACTTTGCAGTGAATTGAGCTAAGTCCTGTTGAGAGCAGCACTTCCCTGTTGTTGCTGCTGTTTGAAGCTCCTGCCTAGACTGGGGGCTTTGTCCAAATCCAAGTCTGTTAAGTGGTATGTCTCCATGGCACCCTTGGAAGATCCTGGGGCTAGAGGGGCAGAGCACTTGTTCCTACGGGTCACTTTCAGGGACCCCATGGCCCGTTCCAGCTCTCATAGTGCCAGCGCAAGCCCCTACTCCCCTCCCCGTTTCAAGTCCCACGACCATTTGTATGTGACCATGGTCCTTTGGGGCCACCTCCTCTGTGCCAGGAGGAAGGTAGGGCCACCTGCCCTAGCACAGACTGGTGAAGGAGAGCAAGGTTGCAAACCTTCTCTGCCCAGAGGGAGCTGGGAGTGTGAGGCCGTCCTGAGGTCATAGCCCCAGCAGCAGGACTGCCCCCTCTTCTTCTCTCCCTCGCTCTCTTGATCCTATTTGTGTAAACTTTTGTCCATAAGAACTTTTAAACAAGTGGGAGATTTGCGAGCTCTTCACAAGGCAGCGTTGATGGCACTTGGGGGCTGTCTTAGTTTGCTAGGGCAGTTGTAACAAAGTACCACAAAGTGGGTGGCTTGAAGAACAGAAATGTATTGTCTCCCTGTTCTGGAGGCTAGAAGTGCAAAATCAAGGCGTAAGCAGGGTTGGTTCTTTCCGAGGGCTGGGAGGGGGGCCTCTCCCCGTGGCTCTTCACGCGCTCCTCCCTGTGTGTGTCCGTGTTCCGATCTCCTCTCCTTATAAGGACATCGGTCATTTTAGATTAGGGGCCCACCCTACTCCACTATAACCTCATCTTAACTAATTCCATCTGCAATAACCCTGTTTCCAAACAAGGCCCCAATCTGAGGCACTGGGGGTTAGAACTGCAACATATAAATTTTAGGGAGGACATAATTCAGCCCCAAACTGCAGATCTCTGATTTCTCCTTATTTGTGTTTTGTGTTAAAAAAAAAAAAATAATAAAGCAGCGAATGGTTTCAGGTGTTTTTTAAAAAAGAGAACATAGAAGAATTAGGTTGTGCTGTATTATGTATTTGAGAGGCATTTTAACATTTACTCCAGAAAATTCCTGTGGATGTTTAATACCCATCAGCTGGCTGTCATAGCAAGGTGGCTGTAGTGGTTTGCTAGGACAACAGTAACAAAGTCCCACAAACTGGTGGCTCAAACAACAGAAATATATTGTCTCACAGTTCTGGAGGCCAGAAGTCCAAGATCAAACTTGCCTGTGATGCCCAGGAAACTGGGACCAGATTACGGAATGTTCCAGGCACCAAAGATGTCTCACAATGGGGCAGCCTCCAACGGGAAGGAAGGAGTTGTCATCAGAGGTGTGCAACAGGGGCTGGTCAGGGAGGCTCAGTATGATGCTTCTCATAGTATTTCTTCCCTCAGATTCTGCGGTCACAAAATACCTGCAACCCCCCAGACAGCTTCCACGTGAGCTGCTGGCCGGTCCTGGGTTGCCTTCCTTTCTGACCCCACTGGTCAGGTCAGGCAGCCACCATCAGTTCCCCACACCCAGCTTTGTTCTGCCTGGTTATTTGAGAATTCCAGGCCTGGATGTGTCCTTGAAGGAGCCCAGCCCTGTGGGGAGCACTTACTCAACCAAATTCTGGGTTCTGTAGCACTTCAGAAAAAGCTGGTTTATGGCAGAGCGGGGCAGGAGAACATCACAGCCTTGTCCCCAGCTATGGCCCTGCTGAGGTTGCCCCACACCCCTTGGCTCAAGTCTGAGGTAAGTTCCCCATCTCACACAGCGGGCCAGCCAGGAGGGAAGCTCTTGTTTTAGGTGCCAAACGCTTTAGGGCCTTCAGAGAGGGCTGAAAGTTTGGGACAGAAAGGGTGCCACACAAGGACACCCACAGGCTATATCCTTGGGGCTGTCCAGCTGTCACTTTCCTTCCATTAGATACCACACCTGCCTAGCATCCCAAAGGCCTCTCAGCATCAAGTACCCACATCTGGACTACTTGTCTCTACTGTCATCCCCACCGCCTCCCTGCGCAACTGTGGAAGGGGTCTTCCCTCCATGCACCCTGGGGCTTGATTTCTTGGGTTCATCTTGTCTTTAACCCTGTCATTATGGGTAACTCTTACCCACCTTCTGGACTGAGCTTATTGAAATACCCTTTTCCAGTGAAATTGGCTACTGTCCCCATTTACGGCACTGGTCAAGCTTCCTTGGCTTTCTGCCTCACCCAATCACGGCAAGGCCTGTAGGCTGTGCCCCAGCACGCCGCCTGGCAGAGTAAGCTGGAGAGCAGTAAAAGGCCTTGTACTTTAACCCCCTGTGCCTCAGTTTCCTCGTATATACAGTAGTGCGTGGTAATACCTACCTCCTGAGGCTGCCCCAAATTCTCAATGGGATAATGCATATACAGTCCTTGGCACAGCGCCTGGGTGCTCCCAGGTATAAGCTTGCTGATTTGCAGGGCCTTCTTCAAATGCAGAGACCAGTATCGCCACCTTTCTGGCCTCTGAAAGAAAAATGTGGTTGTGGGTGCAAGGGAAAGAGGTAACTGCCCCAGGCGGCTGGGGCCACACTAGATGAGTGCCCGTGATCTCCAGCAGCTCTCAGGGTAGCTGACAACTGAAGATTGGACTAGAGCTATCTGTGGCTGAAGGTCCGGTAAGGGGCTGGGGCTGGGGCTGGTGGGCTGCTGCAGGAGAAGAGAGGCTGGAAGGCTCCTGTATGAATTTGCTTTAATAAGTTATCACAAACTGGGTGGATTAAACAACAGAAACTTAATCCTCTCACAGTTCTGGAGGCCAGGAATCCTAAATCAAGGTGTCAGTATGGCTGTATGTTTCCTCCAAAGGCTCTGGGGGAGAATCTGTTCTAGGCCTTTCTCTTAGCCTCTGGTATTGCTGGCAATCCTTATTGGTTCTTAGCTTTTAGACGCATCACTCCAGTCTCTGCCCCTGTTTTCACATGGCTATATTCCTTCCATGTGTCTGCGTACAGAGGTCCTCTTTTTATAAGGGCACCAGTCATACTGGATTAGGACGCACTCTTCTCCAGTATGACCTTAAGTGAATTACATCTGCAGTGGCCCTATTTCAAAGTAAGGGCACATCCACAGATATTGGTGGTTAGGAGTTTAGCATATCTTTTAGGGGAACATAATGCAACCCATAACAGCCCCCCTGGAAGAGGTGCCATTTGAGTTGGGTCTTCAAGAAGGCATTGCTCAAGGGGGTGACAAAGAAGGAGGAAGGCACTGAAGGAGAGGCACCAGCTTAGACAGGCTTGGGTGATACTTTGTTCCTATTTCCTTTCTGACATAACAAAAAAGACCAGTGAAGAAGTATGTTTTATTTGCCTGTGATGTTCTCAAGTGGGATGTGCCCCAGTCAGGTGTTCTATGCTGTCATCATTTTGCTATCATCGGAGGACACAGATATCAGAGCTGCCCCTTGTGCACCAGGCACCCTGTCCCTGAAAGCCTCTCCATTTTCCTCTTGTCATCTCCAGTGTGCTGGGTCTCAGCCAAGTCCGAGGAGGGACATAGACAAGCAGCCCACTGACCTGGTCTTCTAAAGCCTCCTAGTTTAGGTTGGAGCCAGATGTCAGAATCAACTCTGAGGTGACTTTCCAAAGAGAGCAGCCAAGCCACCATGGCTCACCCAAAATGAAGACCACCTACCTCCCCGCCTTCACCCTGGCTCCTCCTTTCCTCTTCCTGGGACCTCAGAGGGGCCTTTCTAAAGTGCCAGTCTGATCATGTGGAAGCCCTTCACCCCCCCACGTCAAGCCCATTCCTTGGGCCAGATCTGATTTCAAGCGTTTAAGTCTCCTGCCAGCCGGCCTCCAGTAGGGCTATAGCTCCGTCAAGCTTCTCAGGTGTCCTTGGGCCTGGATTTGTGCACAGCCTTACACTTTAGTAGAGTCAGGACCCAAGCCACTGTGCCTCCATTTTGCCCCCCACTGGGCTGGGGGCTTCACCAGGGCAGGCCTGGGCCTCACCCCCATCTGGACTCCTTGTCTCTACTGTCCTAGTGCCCAGAGGCAGCTGGAGAAAGGGATTAGTTGCTCTAAGTGGGCTGGGTCTTAAAGGATGGGTCTTAAAGGATGGGTCTTAAAGGAGCTGGGGAGGTATAGTTTGGGATGCAGAGGACCCCCACAAAGCCAGGGAGCTCTAGATTCTTGCTGGTTCTGCCCATCACCATGGCCCAAGCCTACTGGGTATCAGACCCTGCAGTGGAACCAAAAAGTACATCAGACCTGGAGGGGTGTGTGTGGTCACTTGTGGGCCAGGTTCTGAGCACAGGAATCCTCAAAGGGGCCCTCTGAGTGCTGAGAATATCTGATCCTCTGTGAGCTCCGGCTCACAGGCACCTGGTCACTTGCTTTCATGCCCCAAGTCTCTGGTATCCTACACCCACTGGCTCTCACTCCAAATTTGGTCTGTAGGTTTCCAGAGTATCTTGTTTGTCATCAGTCCCCATCAGTCATATACCCAGAATTCCCACTGACCTCACAAACAGCACTTTGGACATTCCAGAGGGACCGCAGCCAGGGCTCACCTCTGCAAGTGGATAGTAGCCTCATGGCAGCAGCTATAGACAGGGCATTGGAGCTGGGCGGTCCCGTTTCCACCCAGAAGGCCCCTTGCTGTGCCTGAAGGGGCCTGGGCTCATGGGTGGGGGATCAGTAAAGGGGTATTTCAATCTCCTTCCTCTGGGGCCTGGAGGTCAGTGGCCCACACTCAGCTGTAGCACCAAGAAAGCTTAAGGCCAAAGAGGAGACAAGAGGGGGAAAAAAAGGCAATGGGTCTGGGTGTCCCACTGCATTAGCCAGGAGGCTCCTGAGGGAGAATGCCCTTGGACCCCTGGCACAGATGGGGAAGAGGGGGAGGTTTTTCTTACCGGCAACTCCCTAGCTCTCTTGCTTGGCTACAGTACAAGAGGTGAGGAGATTGTCCGCCTGCAGATCATGACACCTGGGGCAGGACTTCACCCGATGTCCCCAGACCCGGAAGGAACGAGGTATGGGAGCCCTGCTGGGCTCCTTCCATGCCATTTTAGAGATGGGGTCAGTAGGGAAGGAATGCAAATGATCAGGCCCAGGGGCTGGTTGGTGAGAGACAGGGTCAACCCGAGTCTCCTACCCCAGTGGTGACTGTACCCTGGCCAGAGATGTTAAGCATCTGATACACCTGGCGCTGGGGAGGGTGAGGGACAGGGGGACCACAACCAGCAGGGAGCACAGAGGGCCTTGTCCCTGCCCCAAGACCGGAGGCAGAGATTCGTGCAACAGGCAGGCAGGATGGGCAGGCGAGCTCTCTGAGGGCCAGTCTGAAAGGCATTGGAGGTGTGGGTCAGGAACACAGGGAGGTGGGAACAAGTAGAAGTCACTGGCTTGAAGGCAGCCGTTGATGCCATAGGAGCAGGGGAGGTGGGCAAGGTGGGGGAGCACGCACGTGGAAAGGAATGCTAAGAACACCAAAATTACAGGGCAGAAGAGGAGAGAAATGTAAAGGAGGCTGGGACGGTATGGCAAGTGAGGTGGGAGATGGTGTCACAGAGTCAGCACAGACAGATGGGGGAGAGAAGGCAGAAGTGGCCCACTGGGTCAGAGAGAACAGAGAGGGGTTGCCTTAGGAGGTTAGGAGCGGTCTTAACATCGTGGAGGATTATAGTCGAGAACTCTGCAATCAGCCTGTTTGGGTTCAAATCCTGGCTCTTCCCCTTGTTACCTGGGGAACTTGGGGCAAATTGGTTGGGCTCTCTGTGCCCACATTCACTCATCTGGAAGGTAGGCATAGATAAATACAGTGCCCACATCCTGGGGTTTATGTGGAGTGTTAATGCATGCAGAATTGTGAGACTGTAGTCTGACCCTCAATCAACAGTTGCTATTAGTAATGAGAATTTGAGAATTGGCCAGTCCAACAATATCAGATTTTAAGTTCCTTGGAGATAGTTGGCATTTAGGGATGAGGTAACTTCCTTCATCTGAGTGGGGGTGGCTACTGGGTGGTTAACTTATGTTTCTTTCCTCCATAGTTCTTCCCCAGGCTCCAAAGACAAAGAGGCCTCCAGCCGTAGAGAGGCCAAGAGAGACTTGTTTGGTGAGGAAGCCTGCAAGAGCCCCAGTCCAGACCCTGAAAGGTAACTCAGTGCAGGGACATAGAGCCCATGTGGTCCTTGGTCTAAGTCAATGGATGGAGCTGGGACCAGGACTGTCCAGTTCCCCAGTGTGTCCCCAGTGCCTGAGGCAGTGCAAGTCCTCAGTGAATATTTGTTGAAAGAATAAATGAAGGAATGTATGAGGCCTGGAGAGGGGCAGGCCCCTGCCAAGATCCCTCAGGGAGCCGGTTGCAGAGCTGGACAAAACTCTAGGCCAGACCACCCCACCCCAGCCTTTGGCCCAACTTCACTGTGCCTTTGTCCCCATTGAAAGCAGTCCTGCTGAAGGCCAGGGCAAGCAAGGCTGCCAGGTCAGCAGTTTAAGGAAGTCAGTGACCAAAGGATACATGGGCCTCAACAGAACATCTAGCATGGACTTCCAGGATGACCTGTAGATAAAGGGAGACATGGTAGAGGCTGGCAAGGATGTGAGACAGAGCCAGTGGGGGATGATGAGTCCAGAAGGGGTGGTTGTGCCCAGCCATCCTATGACCATCTCATTGAGTTGTCCTCCAAGCCAGACCAGGGAAGCCTGGGTGTGGTGAGCAGTGGCTGAGATTTAGACATTTTTTCAATGGGATTCTAATAGCCAGTAATGGATAAGAGCCCACAGTCTTGCCTGTCTGCCACCATTTTCTCAGTGTGGAGTTCTGGATCCCCAGTGGGGACTCAGCCACGGAAATGAGGGAAGGGGACCCAGGATGTCTTGGGGGGGGGATCTTGTTTGTGCACTGGGCTCTGGTTTATTAGTGGCCCCAAATGCCTTGCCCCTTGTTCTTTTCAGCCATCGATCCCTCCATTGTGCCAGCCTCCTCCTGAGTTGCCACTTTGCTCTATTGTTTTGGCTTCACTCTTGCTCCTGGTCCATTAGGTTTGGAAGAAAAGCAGAAATACTTGCTGGTGTCAGGTTGGCTCTAGCTGGAGCAGTGCAGGGTGGCAGCCGAGAGCCTGGGCTTCTAGTCCTTGAGGCTTGCTCTCAGGACATCTTAGTTATATTAGATCAAAACCTAATCAGAGTCAGCAAATGCTTCTCTTCCCGTAACAGGTCAAGCGCACAGTCACGTGATGGCAATGCGGGATCCAGAGCCATGAGCTTCCTACCTGAAGGCTTGACTGGAGCAGACATTGGCTCTGGGAGAGGAGGGTAAGCTGCCTGGGGAAGGCAGGTGGCCTCAACTTATTGATTGTCTCATGTCCCGGTGACAGGCCAGGGTCAAGCTGCCAAAACTGCTTGGGTTGCTGGGGACTGAGCACGGTCATTTCCCATAGTCCTATCTACAGCTTGCTTCTCCAGTTGCTGCCACCACACCCTTTGTCCCTGGGCTTTCCACTTAGGGCAATTGCCGGTGCTTGAATCTTGCTCCTTCTACCTTCTGCCACTGGCTCTCAAGATCCTCCAGAGCAAGCACAAGGGCCCACTTGCAGCCAGAGGCCCAGCCCTTGCCTGGGCAGGCATCAGGAGGTAGGATGAATGTGTGGGGGAATGAGTGAAGGGACGGACTAACAAACAAATGACCATCTTCTTGGCTGAGCTCTGAGGACAAGCTGAAGGAGGTCCTTCATCTCTGTTTTCTCCTTTCCCTTCCAGAAGCCCCAAAGCTCCTTTTCCTGCCCCACCAGCCTTTCCTGGCCAGTTATGCTCTTTGGTTCAGTGAGAGGAAAAGCAGTGGTCCCTCTGAGAAGACAAGCATGTCTGGCTGGGCTCAAATTCCTGGACCTGGGTGGAGTCAGGGGCCACTTTCTCAGGTGATTCAGGAAGTGGCGAGGTCCCACCTGTCCCCAAGTGGTTCCAAGCCAAGAACTGAGTCATCCTTGGGGACAAAGAATCGGTATGCTGATGTTGGCACAGATAGTTCAGCTCCAAGTTGTGCTAGCGCCCTTATGGTTCAGAACAAATGGACAAAGAGGAATGACAAAGCCAGTGTCTGCCGAGAGCCACAAGGGCATGCGGGTACAAGGAAAGGCCCCTGGGCTGGAGCCTTGGCTCTTTGAGCTGTCACTAGTGGGGAGGACTCTCTGAGAACCCAGCACTTGCAGCCTGCTTCGCTGTGTGCTGGCCAGCACTTGTGCTATTCACTGAATTTGCTGGTTGCTGTTGTAGACTTCTGCTTCATGTTTGAATATTCATCCAGATCATCCTTCTTGCTTACACACCTTCATAAAGTAAAATCTTTGCTTTCTGCCAAACATCAAGTCACCTTACAAAGTAATCTGGAAGAATTGTCTAGATTTTTATGACTTTTAACCTTTCAAGGTTCAAGAGTTTTATACATTGTCTTAGCCTATCCTTATTTTGACAATGATTTTTAAGAAACTTGCCTTTATTATATTTCCAAGGAAAACCTTTTTTTTTTTTTAAGATTTTATTTTTAAGTAATCTCTGCACCCAATGTGGGGCTCGAACTTACAACCCTGAGATCAAGAGTTGTATGTTCTACCAACTAAGCCAGCCAGGCACCCCAGAAAATGTTCTTTCTTTTTTTTAAGATTTTATTTATTTGTCAGAGAGAGAGCGCGCATGCACACACAAGCAAGGGGAGCGGCAGGCAGAGGGAGAAGCAGGCTCCCTGCTGAGCAAGGAGCCCGAGGTGGGACTCGATCCCAGGGCCCTGGGATCATGACCTGAGCCAAAGGCAGACACTTAACCGACAGAGCCACCCAGGCATCCCAGAAAATGTTATTTCTTATGCAGAAAACAATCGCTTCTTTTCCATTCACTTTTTTCCCATTCACTTTTATGAGTTTAATAATTGAATTTAGTAATTACGGTTGGAAGTACAAATGGGATAAACAGATTTGAGAACAAACGTGAGGAACTCTTAGTGAGCATGCTACTCAAGTGCAGGCTTGCACAGGCGATGAGGTGAGCTGTGACTGCTCAACATGCTGTGAGCATCAATCTGCCTGATTTTTTTTTAATTTAATTTTATTATGTTATGTTAGTCACCATACAATACATCATTAGTTTTTGATGCGGTGATCCATGATCCATTGTTTTCGTATAACGCCCAGTGCTCCGTGCAGTGCGTGCCCTCCTGAATACCCATCACCGGGCTAACCCCTCCCCCCTCCCCCCTCCCCTCTAGAACCCTCAGTCCGTTTCTCAGAGTCCACAGTCTCTCCTGGTTCCTCTCTCCCTCCGGTTCCTCCCCCCCTTCATTTTTCCCTTCCTTCTCCTGATGTCCTCCCTGCTATTCTTCATGTTCCACAAATAAGTGAAACCATATGATAATTGACTTTCTCTGCTTGACTTGTTTCACTGAGCATCCTCTCCTCCGGTCCCATCCATGTGGATGTAAAAGTTGGGTATTCATCCTTTCTGATGGCTGAGTCGTATTCCGTTGTATATATGGACCACATCTTCTTGATCCATTCGTCTGTTTAAGGGCATCTCGGCTCTTTCCACAGTTTGGCTACTGCGGACATTGCTGCTATGAACGTTGGGGTGCGTGTGGCCCTTCTTTTCACTACGTCTGTGTCTTTGGGGTAAATACCCAGGAGTGCAATTGCGGGGTCAGGGGGTAGCTCTATTTTTAATTTTTTTGAGGCACCTCCACCCTGTTTTCCAAAGTGGCTGTACCCACTTGCATTCCCACCAACAGTGTAAGAGGGTTCCCCTTTCTCCACAACCTCTCCAACATTTGTTGTGTCTTTCCCTGTCCATTTTTGCCATTCTAACTGGTGTAAGGTGGTATCTCAATGTGGTTTTGATTTGAATTTCCCTGATGGCTAATGATGATGAACATTTTTTCATGTGTCTGTTAGGCATTTTATGTCTTCTTCGGAGAAGGGTCTGTTCATGTCTTCTGCCCATTTTTTGACTTGATTTTTTTTGGGGGGGGTTGAGTTTGAGAAGTTCTTTATAGATCTTGGATACCAGCCCTTTATCTGTAGTGTCATTTGCAAATATCTTCTCCCATTCTGTGGGCTGCCTCCTTGTTTTGTTGACTGTTTCCTTTGCTGTGCAGAAACTTTTTATCTTGATGAAGTCCCAAAAGTTCATTCTGCCTGATTTACAGAGAGACAAAGAATGCAGCCTACCTTGGGAAGACTGGTAAGACAGCAACCCACTCACTCAATCTGTATCCAGTTGATGGATACAGATCGACTGCAAAGGGATGCTGCTTCTATAAATGGCCACAGGCCCCAGTAATAATAGCAGGAGCAATTTAGCACATGCTAGGGCTTAGGCATTATTCTCAGTACTTGTCATCTATTAACTCATTTACTCTTCTTGGAAAACTTACGAGTCAGACACAATTATCATCCCCATTTCACTGATGACCAAACTGAGGCCCAGAGAAGTCAGGTGATGTGCCCAAGATCACACAGCTGGGAGGTAGCAAAGTGATGATTTGAACGCAGGCAATGCGCCTGCAGGGAGCATACACTGCCCCAGTGTCAGGCAGTTGTGGACTCTAAGTGATTATTATGCCCTGGGCATCTGTTTGAGCAGCCCTTCAGCTCTCATCGGAAGCCATCCTTTGGGGAGGGAATAGACATACAGACACAAAGTCCTTAACCCAGACCAGACTTGGACTCCTTCCACAGACTGTGCTCTGCTGCTGGCTTCCCCCCATCTCCTGGATGACCAGGATGTGTGTGATGCCAACTCTCAGCCTTGCAAGCCCAGCATCTACTCACAAGGACCCAAGCTGAGGTGGCAGAGGGGATGGCATTGGGAGACAGAGCTTGGGAAGAGACCCTCCTGTAGGGACTGCCGCTCAACCCAGCAAGCAGAAGTCAGGAGGAGAAATACCAGGGACAGCCAAGCAGTACTAGAAGGCTCAGTCTCAGGAAGCACATGGAAGTGGTTGAGGAGAGCACATGCCTCCAGGGGTGCTAAGGTGCAATGGGAAGGGGTTGTGCATTCCTACGCAGCAGGCTTCTGCCTTATTTCATCTGCCAATCCACCAGTAGGAGTGGCTGGTTTGCTGTGGGTGTGTGGAACACTTAGTAAGGAACAATCTTCCTGTACTCCCACACAGCCCCAGGAGATATAGATCAGGCAAGGATACCGGAACCCAAAACCAAGAGCTGATCGGGGCAGTGCTTGATCTTGAACTCAGGTGCTAAGGCCACAGCTCATAAGATGTTATCACACACAGTGGCGTCTGTGCCATACTAACAGCAGGACTGAGATGCCATCCTTTACTGGCAGATGTTGGTCTCCCTTTCCTGTGAGAAGGCAACTGGGAAGGGCCCCGAGTCTCCTTTGGTCTGACGCCTCATCAGGCATGTGTGCTTTCTCCCTCAGCTCCAGTGCCACTCTGGCCTCTGCTGGACCAGCTGACTGGAAGAGTGACAGTCCAGTAGACCTGGAGGACAGGGAGGCACACCTGAAGGGGTAAGGCATCAGGCAACAGTGCTGAGCTTCTGAGGTGGAGAGAAAAATTCAGGTGTGCATTAGCCTTTGGCTTGGAAGGTGAGGCCAGCAAGGCCTGTGAGCTGGTCCGAAGCACGTGGCAAGAGCTGAAGCCCCAGCTAGCACCCTCTGGCCTCTGCCTCTGCGGCCACAAAGCTTTCCACTACACCTTGTTGCCTCCAGCCAGGAAGTCTTCCATTATCAGGAAGTCACCCACTCTTTCAATCAACAATCATTCGAATGGCACCTGCCCTGTGCTGGAGGCTGGAGCACACAGATATGGCTGATGGGAGACAAAGCCTGGCCCAGACTGGAAAAATACATTATGCTGGAGCAGGGAAATGGGGGGGGGGGGGACCAGGACAGCTTCGTGGGGGAGGTGGCTTTTGAGCCGAATCTTGAAAGGTGAATAGACGTCCTTCAAGCAAAGGAAACAGGATAAGCAAAGGACTCCAAACATCCTGCTATTTCCTGGGCACTGCACGTAGTTGAGTGTGGCTAGTACTGAGGGTCCTTGTCGGGGACTGGTGAAATAGAAGGCTTGTCGGGGTATGAAGGAACTGATTGGCCTTTAATACCAGATATTGTTAATGACCACTACACCCACTTAACTTTGGGTCACATACTGTGTGCACAGCCCTTGACTCACTGTGTCTTATACAGTGCTCCCCACAATCCTCTGAGTTTTGCACCTAATTAGAATGAAGAACAAAGGTCTGGAACATAGGTATCTGTGCCTCCTGGGAAGAACAGTGCTCTGAAAGAAATAGCCAGGGTACATGGGGTAACTCAGGCAAGCTCCTCTAAGGAGGAAAAGGAACCAATTCTAGGAAGAGCAAGGAGAAGAGAGCTGCAGACAGAGAACGGCAGACAAACCCTGCAGTGGGAATACACTAGAGTGGCTGCAGCCTAGCCAATGACAGGGACCATAGATGGACCAGGGCTTTGGTAAGCTATGAGGTCTGAGACTCTATTATGTGGCTTTTTGGGTTCAAATTGCATTGACAGTTAACAGAGTGAAAACAGTAACTGACACCTATAGTGTGCTCTGCTGGATGCTTTACAATCTTTCCAGCAACCCCATAAAAGGAATAAGCAGGGAAACTGAGGCACAGAAAGGTTAAGTGACTTGCCCAAGGGCTTACAAGTGGCAAAGCTGAGTTCCAGTGCAAGAGCCTCTTAAAAAAAAAAAAAAAAGAAACAAGGAAAAACTTTAAAAAGCTATTTTATGAAATTTGTTGTGTGAAGCCTATTCTCAAGATCCAGAACCAGTAACTCTCCGCTAGTTAACGTGTGAAGCACCTTGTCTGCATGAGCTCATCTAATATTCCCCAAACCTGGGGCAGGATCTGCCTTCTTATTATGCAATATGACAATGGAGAAAACTCTGGCTGCGCTTGAGAATCACCAAGAAAGTGTTAAAAAAAAAAAAAATTCCTGAGCCCCATGCAGAGGTTTAGATTTAATTGTTGTGGGGTGGCTTACACCATCCATGTCTTTTTAAAATCTCCCAGTTTATTTTCATGTCCAGTCTAGGTTGAGAATCATTGCCGGCTTCGCGCCTGGGCTTTTGATTGGCGCGCACCTCTGCGCGCGCGCGCCTATTGGAGCGCGACCCCGTCTTCTGTGTGCCTGCGTGGCGGGGGCAAGCCCACTGAAGCCTTGTGCGCCTGCGTGCACCGCCATTTCCTGCATCGGGGAGCTCGGGTCGCAGTGCCTATCGGGAAATACGACCATCCACAAAGCGAAATGGCTGCCCAGGGCTAGAAAGGCCTCAGTGTAGCTTCTCCTTCTGCCGTGCTGATTCCGGCCGCTAGATGGCGCGCAAGGATCAGAAATGGGCCGGGTGGTCAGTCTGGGGCCGCTGTGGGCTTTCACTGTCCTTGCATGGATGGCCTGGTGGGCGCAGGTGGTGTCCCCGACCTTGGGGTTGCAGCAGGCCCCCCTGACCCCGTGTGGACCATCGCCGCAGTCCTGGCAGAGGCGGGAGAGAGGGAGCGGGCTCGGTGCCCGCAAGGAGCCGAAATGGGCTACTGTGGCCCCAGCCTGTTTGGCAGGGTGCCCTGGCCTTGGTCGTCTCTGGCCTCTGGCCACTGATCTTCAGAGCTGCCCGGGGGCAGGGGCTGTGGACTCACGGGGAGGGCTGCCAATCCTCCATCAATGAGGGACCACGTGGGTGGATCTGCCTGGACAGGGCTCTGGGGCCCTGGAGAGGCGGCTTAATTCCCAAGAGTTGTGTGAGGAAGGGTGATGGGGGTGGGCAAGGAGATCCTGCAGAGCAAACTGTCCCAAACTTGAGGAACTCTTCCCTATTCTAACTTGATCTTGCTTCATTACATATGCGGGAAGAGTCAGTATAGTGTGGTGATCAAGAGCATTTATTCCTGTGCATGGGCTCACAGTGAAGCTCTGTCACTTACTCCCTATGTGGCCTTGGGTATCTTTCCCATCTCCTCTTCTAACAGAATCCAAGCTCGTTCTGCCCACTGCAGGACAGGCCAGTAAGTGGAGAGACAAGATGTTAGGGTAAGGAAAGCGACTTTATCCGGAAAGCCAGCAAACCAAGGAGATGGTAGACTGTTATCCTAAGGAACTATCTCTTCTTGGCCTGAAATTTGAGCTTCATAAAAAAATTAAAAGAAAGTTAGTTAAAGGGAGGAAGCAGGAGGGGGTGGAATTAAAAGGTGACTGATACCTGTAGACATCCCAGGAAGGTTGTGTAACTTCTCTGTCCTTAGTCAGTTTATCTTTGTTTATAGGAATCTGGTCATGTTGTTCCTGTAAATCTTAAACATAACATAGTCATTTGTGTGCATACTTACTTATCTCCTTGGGTGAGGTAAGTTTTGGGTAAAGAGTGGTCTTTGCAAGTCTTAGCTGTAGCATGCCTACGTGCATGGCTAAACGTGCATGTGTGGGATAGCTGAGAAGTTTCTAAGCTATAGGTCACAGTAGGAAGGAAAATAGAAGCAATATGGAGTCAAACATGCTAAGTTTGTTCCTATTACACTCTGTGTTTGAATTTCCTTACCTATAGAACAGTGGTAATAATAGTTTCCACCACACAGGGTTGTTGTGAGGATTAAGTGAGTTTGTTTGTATAAAGCATGTAGGACATTTCCCTGGCACAAAGTACTATGTCAGACTCTCCTTTTATAAAAACTTCAAGCTAAATAAAGCAGCCCCAAAGGAATACCTCCTTTTACCAGAACACTGGGAAAGCTGCTGTTCCCTTCTACAGTTTTATTGGCCTGATTTCTTTTAATAAGACACAGAGTAGTTCATCCCCTCCCCACCAAACTTTGGGTATTTTTACATCTAGAACAGAGTTTTCCTCTTTGTTATGTTGCAAGCCTGGGCTTTCCACATTTATGTTCTTTCTGCATGAGGAACAGGTAAACTTTAGGCACATGTATTCACTGTGGACAACCATTATCAATCAGCAGAGGAGTCTTTTGGAGTCTTTTGTAAGAGTGGAAGGGGTTGTTATCTTCCATGTGGAGTGTGATTGTGTCCAGAATAGACAGTAGCTGTATCAGGCTGCTGAATCTTTGGTCTAGTTGCAGCCAGAAGTATTACTTTGCCTATCTCTAAACACTTAACTTCCAGGCAATTCATTAGAGGCATGGGAGACCTCTGGGGTACTACATTGCTCAGCAAGACTTCCTCTGACTAAGATTTCCTTATTATAGGTCAGATGGATTACACCTCCTATAATTGTAGTGACTTTGTTCTGAGGCCTAGGGCAAAGGAACCTTATTCATCCACTTGTGCTTGTGTTGCAATGGACCCCCAAATTACTCTTTTCAGAGAATCTTGACTTGATGCACAAATTGATGAGGACAATCTCTGTTACCAAAATTCTATAAAGGACAGGAGATGGGACAGGATTCTGATTAAGTCCATGGCAAAGCTAGTTCAGGGCTTACAGAGGCAGGAAACAAGCCCTTTAGGCTTTCTAGGTTTGTCTTTGGCTCAAGCATGTATGTCACATGTAGGGTTGGGGTGGGTGTGTCAGGGTATCCTGCTGGCTAAGGGACTGGCATTATCTGAGCAGACCACTCTTGATATCTGGCTGAGCTGCAGCAGACCATCAGGGTAAAAGCAGCACAGAGAGGGACAACACCCACTTGCCTGCCCATTTGCCTGGGCAGCTGGTAGTGGTAATAAGCTTATTATTCCTGCTAGGGTACTTTGGTTCATGTCACTTGAGGCCAAAAAATCGCCTTGCTTTCAGGGCATACCCCAAAAACTATGGTCACTGCTCCACTTGTTATTTCAGCTCAAAGGCAGGGAGCATACATATTATGGGATTAACTTCTGTGAATAAAAAGTCCCAGGGCTAGAGGTAACTGGTAGTGTGACCTTCTTATCCCAGGGTAGCCCCGCCAGTGATTGGAGGCATGCTGCTGATGTTGGGAGGCTTGAGTTCAGGTTAAGCCATCCGGGTGATGATGAACTAGATTTTTATTTTCTAGAATGCTGGCTTAAGCTCTCAATAACCCGACTCAGTATCCTTGGCCTAGTGGGCATATAACATCTTTGAGGCCTCCAGGTAGCAGCACCATCACACATAGAGGTCATGGGGAAGGCACCAGGAGAAAGAACAAGGCCCTTGGAAGCACCTCAGATAGGGATGGTGATGGGAAGGGTGTTCAAGTGTAGGTGTGGCATGAGGCCAGGGAGGAAGATCTCCCAAAGAACTTGATGTGTGGGATAGCTGAGAAGCCACTTCCTCCTTGCCAGATTCAGGGGATGGCAAAAGCATCAGAAGTTCAGGCTTTCTCCATTATGAGTGGGGACTGCTTTTGTCAGTGGGAGGGGGAGCAGTGGTAGTGGGATTCTCCCAAAGACGAGAAAGACTGGTCTCCGTGTGGTGGGGGCCATGCTGGGCTCTCCTCTTCCCCATCTTCTGGAAGAGGAGCCCACTATGGCCACAGGAGGTGACATCAGCAGGCAGTGGGTAAAGAAGGACTGGTCCCAAAGCACTTGCTCCATAAGGATATTTATTCTTCCTCAGCACCTTGGCTGGTTCTGAAGAGAAGAATGTGGCTTCCAAGGTGGGAGAGACCTGGCAGGAGAAGCCCACAGCCCTGAGAGGTGGCCAGGGAGACCCAGCTGTACCGTCCCAGCAGCCTGCAGCCCCCAGGACCCCAGAGCCACAGAGCAGCCCCAGAAGACCTGAGCAGCTTGTAGAACTGGACAGCCAGGCCAGCAGGTAAGGGTTATGCTGTGCTGGGCTCCTGCCTGCCTGAGGTGAAATTTTGTCAGGGGCCATGACCCAGGTAGGACCCACTTTTTTAAAAAGATTTATTTATTTATTTTAGAGAGAGAGAGAGAGTGGGGGGGGAGGGGTAGAGGGAAGAATCCTGAAGCAGACTCCCCACCGCATGTGGAGCTCGATCTCATGACCCATGAGATCATGACGTGAGTTGAAGCTAAGAGTCGGGCACTTAACCAACTGAGCCACCCAGGTACCCCAAGTGGGATCCACGTTGACCCCATGTTTATGCCAGTGCCTGGCACTCACACACCCAGGAGCTCAAACTCCTGCCCCATGAGTGGAGTTGGGATGGTGACTCCCTGGGTGTGAAGCAGTGTTGAGGGGCTTCCTGTGGTGCAAGTAGCTGGGATAGAGCCTGTGATAGAAGTAGGTGTATGTACCCGGAGGTAAGAAGGACTGCTAATTTCTGACATGTGAAGCAGGAAGGTCTCCCAGGATGGGGGTCCCAAGTAGGATGAGGGTTATTTGTATGTATAAAATGGCACTGTCAGAGAATGAGAGAGAGAAGATTGAGACTGAATAATAACTGACATTTTCTAGGCAACCTCATCTACTCTGTAGCCCCCAGTATAATCTTCACTCAACTCTAGACCTGTTTACTCCATGGCCTACTGGACATTGTTATCCAGATTCCCTACAGGCACTTTACATTCAGCATTACCCAAATGACCTTATCATATCTCTGCATGGCACCTCCCCCCAACTTCCTTACTGTCTCTCAGCTTATTCTTTCCACGATCTGGAACCATTACCATCCACCCAGTTGACCAATCCTGAAATCTTGGAAGAGCCTTGGCTACCACTTCCCTTCACCTTTACCTTTCATAAGACAACAAGACTTGTGGCCTTATCATCTCTCCCTTGGCTGAGCATTTTCCTAACTGGTTTCCTGCATCATCTTACTTTTTACCCCCTGGCCTGATTCTCCACACGGCAGCTGAAGGGAATCTTCATACAAGTCATGTCTGGTCTGTTCATGATGAATGTAACATATTAATGTTATTAATGTCAGTTTTGTTGTTGTTTAATGGATATGGAGTTTCCTTGGTCTCTTGTTGATACTATTGGCCTCCCTTCCTCTTCCTCTTCTCTTGGGGAAGAATGGCTTATTGGTTAACAGACTGAGAACAGGAACTTCATGAATCTAGCTTGGCCAGTAATTCTCCTTGTATTTGGAAGCAGATGGCTTCAGATGTACAGCCAAGAAGGTTCCCCCTTGAGTTCTTTGCTTCTGTCTACAAGCCCCCAGGGCCAGTTGTCCAGCCAGGCTCTTGGCTGGGTGAGTAAGGACCTGTGGTTCAAGGATGCAATAGGAGCCCTGCTTTTTGGCTCTACATGTAAAGCCATCTCCTTCATCAGCTGACATTTATCTCCGTTTTCTGTTCTTTTTTCGTCTAAAAAAAGAGGTGTTAATTATTGGCCCCCTAAAACTCCAAGTCTATACAATGAAAAAAAGGAAAAATAAGAGAGAAGCAAAGGCAGATGCATCAGAATTCTGGATAGTAATATTGAAAGGTCTTTTAGCAGAAGAGGACCTGAAGAGGGGTACTGAGAAGGAAAGTTTTGGATAAATGGAAGAACCTGGAAAGAGTACCATCATGGAAACCAAGCCAGGCTGAGCTAACTTTCCAGTATGCTGTGTACCCTTAAATAAGCCCGTAGATTTGGTAAAATGGAGTTTATGGCTGCTTTAAGCAAGGGGCAGATCATGGGAGTAGAAAGACTGTGGTTGACTTATGATGGATTGAGGAAGAAGTGGGCGGTGAGGTGGTGCAGTTGGTAGAGGTGTACAACTCTTTCTAAAATGTTGGCCAGGAATTGATGGAGATTGGATGGATGAGCAGATAAACACAGCTACAGGATAAGGGGAAGGGCTTTTTAAAGTGTAGGTTTATGTGCTCAGGTGAGGAAATATACTCTGGGTAAAGAGAGTTTGATATTTGAAGAAAGAGTGAGCAAACCCAAAGGTGAAGGGTCACTGTATTTATGGTAAGGGCTTAGGGTGGTAAGCTCTAGAGCCTTGGGAAGGAAGGAGATGGCTCTGTCTTAGAGACAGGAGGGAAGGATGAGTGCAAATGTAGGTTGGGGGGCAGTGGAAGGAATATGCAGAGTAATGTGGGCTCCTTGATTTTTTTCTGTGAGTTAATGAGCCACACATTCTATAATTAAACCAAATTTTACTTAGTGACTACCAGCCCATGTACTAAGCATTGGGGATACTGACAAATAAAATTTGGCCCCTGACCTCAAGGAGGTATGGATAAGGTATAATGGCAGCATAGTAGGAGTATGTGACTTGATTGGCCTCATTGAATCAGGGAAGGCTTCACAGAGGTGACAGTTAATGTTCCTCTTGAAGAACTCTGTGAGAAGGTGAAGGAGGAGTTCAGGAGTAAGGGGACTCTCCTGTGCTAAAGGGTAGATCAAAGTGTTGCATGCTTGAGGAGCACCCTGTGGTTTGATATGGCTGTAGTTTATGGTGAGAAGACAGTGGAAAAGTTGATGTTGGGCAGATGGTGTACAGACAAAGATTTTATTTATTTGTCAGAGAGAGAGAGAGCACAAGCAGGGGCAGCAGCAGGCAGAAGGAGAGGGAGAAGCAGGCTTCTGCTGAGCAAGGAGCCCGATGTGGGACTCGATCCCATGACCCTGGGACCATGACCTGAGCCCAAGGTAGACGCTCAACCACCTGAGCCACCCAGGTGTCCCTTTTACAGACAATAGTTAACCTAGCAGGCCTGAGACTGCTCTTTTTAGAAAGGGCTGCTTGTGAGGCACCTGAGTGGCTCAGTTAAGTGTCTGCCTTGAGCTCAGGTCATGATCCCAGGGTCCTGGGATCGAGTCCTGCATCCGGCTCCTTGATCAGCAGGAAGCCTGCTTCTCCCTCTCTCTCTCTCTCTCTCTCTCTCTGTCTCTCATGAATAAATAAATAAAATCTTAAAAAAAAAAAAAAAGAAAGTTCTGCTTGTAAGATGTGCCTCTGGGAACTTGAAAAGGTAAACAGTTCTCTACACTGATATGAACCTTTCTCTAAATGATAAGAGATAAGGCTTTCCACCTGGATAACTAGTACAAACAATGTACTTTATGCTGACTCTCTGCTTGCTTCCTGGGAGTTGGGAATTTCGGTACATGCCAGGCAGAAAGTGCCTATGTGACCCGTCTCCAAAAATAATCCTGGGCTGTGAATGAAAACGCTGCCTTTTCCTTTCACTGATTTTGCTTGGTATCCTTTTGTGGTCATAAATCTTAGCCTTGAGGATGACTATATACTTAGTCCTGGGAGTCCTCCTAGTGAATCACTGACCCTGGGGGTGGTTTTAGGGACACCAATACACCATATCAATCTAATAAAGGACAAAAGCCACATGTTCACAGATGGGCAGGGTCAGATCCTTATGCCTTAACAAGGACTTGGACTTTCTCCAGAGGATGAAGAGAAGTCAGGAAAGTTTTTTAAAAAAATCATTGTCCACAATAGCCAAACTGTGGAAAGAGCAGAGATGCCCTTCAACAGATGAGTGGATAAAGAAGATGTGGTCCATATATACAACGGAATATTACTCAGCCATCAGAAAGGATGAATACCCAACTTTTACATCCACGTGGACGGGACTAGAGGAGATGATGCTCAGTGAGTCAAGTCAAGCAGAGAAAGTCAATTATCACATGGTCTCACTTATTTGTGGAACATCAGGAACAGCAGGGAGGACATCAGGAGAAGGAAGGGAAAAATGAAGGGGGGAGATCGGAGGGGGAGACGAACCAGGAGAGACTATGGACTCCGAGAAACAAACTGAGGGTTTAGAAGGGAGGGGGTGGGGGTATGGGTTAGCCCGGTGATGGGTATTAAGGAGGGTACGTACTGCACAGAGCATTGGGTGTTATACGAAAGCAATGAATCGTGGATCACTGCATCAAAAACTAATGATGTACTGTATGGTGACTAACATAACATAATAAAATAAAATTTTAAAAAATCACTGTAAAATTCACACAACATAAAAATTACTATCTTAACCATTTTAAAGTGTGCAGTTCAGTAGTATTAAGTACATTTATGTTGTGCGACCAATCTCCAGAATGCTTTCTGTCTTGCGAAACTGTAACACTTTCCCCATGAAATAACTCCCCAGCCCCTGGCACCCACCAATCTACTTCCTATTTCTATACATTTGAGTACTCTAGGTTCCTCATAGAATTGGAATTATGCAGTATTTGTCCTTTTGTAACTAGTGTCTTTCAGTTAACTTAATGTCTTCAAGGTTCATCCATGTTGTAGCATATGTCAGTATGTCCTTCCTTTTTAAGGCTGATTAATATTGCATAATATAGACACACTGCATTTTGTTCATCCATTCGTCAATAGACAGTTGGGCTGCTTCCACTTTTTGGTCATTGTGAATAATACTGCAATAAACATGAGTGTACAAATATCTCTTTGAGATCCTGCTTTCAGTCCTTTTGGGTATATACCCAGAAGTGGAATTGCTGGATCATATAGTAATTGTATGTTTAAGTTTTTTGAGAAACCGTCATGCCATTTTCTACAGTGGCTGTTTTGTATCATTTTACATTCCCACATACATAGAGCCAGAAAAGTTTTAAGCAGGGGAGTGGTATGATCAGAGTTGTGATTTAGGGTTATCTCTATGGTGGCAGTGTGAAGAATGAACTGGAAGTGGGAAGAGTGGAGGCAGGGGGAAGAGCTACGAAGTGGTTCCAGTCCACCAAGTAAGAGATGAAGGGGCCCCAACTAGGGTAGTAGCTATGGATATGGAGACAGAACTGCTAAATAAGTATAATGGACCTAGAACTGGGCAACTGATAAGACTTGGGGGAACAGTGAGGGAAGGGGAAGTGTTCAGTCAGAAAGCCATATTTGTGGCTCGTGTAGCATGGTGGAGGATGTGACCTCTTTCAGCCCAGGTTGT